TAGAAAGCAAAGCCCCAAAGCGGAAGAGACTGTATAATGAATATAAGGCAGGGGCCCCGAAACAAGCAGCTCCCAGCAGTCAGGCCCTGGAATCTTACCTGCTGCAATGCCAACACTCTTAAGCACCAGCCCACCTTGCAGACAGAGATCTCTCCTTTAAAGGGACTACGGAGGTTCATGGTAGTCATCCCATTCCCTTGCTCAAGGGACCATTCTTGGGATTCAGTCCCCTCTAATGCCTTTAAAGGGGCTATTCTCTGTCTGCCAGTGTGCATAAAGTCCCTATATTAGAAATAAAACAAAGTTGGGTACATCTATAAGAAAGCTAAAATCAAAGGTCAGGCATTATCTTTATTAGGAGCACCTGAAAATGCGAACAAAAACAATAAACTATGGACAAGCTTTCAAAAGTCAGGTTTCTTTTTACTGTTTTCTGGTTTACCAAGGAACCTGCGGCCCAATTTACTCCTCACAGTGGAAAACAGGTTGTTTGCAGGGACCTGCACTGCCTGTGACCTGCTTCCAATTTCTGCAAATAACCCCCAGTCCATGCTATCAGGGGTTGTCCATGTGATGCAGAGGCTCAGTAACCCAGAGGTTAACTCAAGGTTGGCATCTCTGAGTTGCTCAGCCTTCTCGTGACATCTTGTCTAGGGGAGTAATGAATGCACTGCAGCGGTTCTACTTTCTGGATGGCCAATTCCAGAAAGTGGTGCTTGAGGATTATTGTTCTGCCCTTTGGCAGTTTTATTTATTTATTAAAACATTTTTATGCCGCCCCATTCGCCGAAGCCTCGGGGCGGCTTACAACATAGTTGTGCCACAGGGCTCCATTTTATCCCCCGTGCCATTTAACATCTACATGGACTTTTCACCAATATCTCAATGACACCCAGCTCTATCATTCCAGGTGTGGAACAAAGTGTTCTGAGCCAGTGCTTGAGTGCAGACTGGATGGCAACCAGTACAGATTTCATCTAGACAACTCAGGCATGCTGTTAGAGTGGCTTGTCATCTTGGCTAAATAAGGTTCAACCTCTTCTAGATGGGACTGCACTCCTGAAGAATCAGGCTTGTAGTTGGAGATGCTCTGGCATCCAGTGTTGTCCCTACAATCACTTTCATCAGCAAGGACTGGCATATCTTATCCGGGCAGACATCCTAACTGAGGTTATCCACACTTTGGTAACCTCCTGTCTGGATCATTGCAATGGGTTGTACATATGCTGCCCTTTGAAATGGTCTGCAGACTGGCTGGTCCAAGATAGGGCAGCAAGCCCTAACCATCTGGACACTGAGAATTTGTACAACACGTATGACAAATCTCTGTCATGAGACTCGATGGACCCTTGGTCTGATCCAGGATGGCCTGTCTTGGTCTTGTTGAAATGCCCCCATCCCTCACCAGAAGACTGATCTTCACCATGCTGCAAAGTGATTTTCCCGGGAGATCTTAGGATGAGTCACAAAGATATGTCAAGCATTTAACTATACAGCTTCAGTGGGCATAATCAGACGCAGGGAGAATTTTAATTCTGCATTACAGCGAGGGCAGTGCTTTTCAAGGGAGTCTGCTCACACATGCAGCTCTGACTCATCAAATGCTGCATAATCAGAAGGCTGCTGGCAGACAGTAAAACAAGTGAGGGGAGGAAATTAGGCCTGAGCAGCCCAATGCTACTGAAACAAGTAGACAGTGTTGCTGCAGCCATATTGCCTGACGTCACTTGATGAAGAACCTTGAAGGCTGGTTGCTTGCCATGGTGTCATCAACTGGAGTTGTGGTTCTGGTTGTGCAAGGTATATGTGCACACAAGCTTTTGGATGACCTGTGTGGGGGTGTGTGCCTCTTAAATACTGTATGTTCAGTGTAACAATAGGAAAAAGAAGGGATAAAGATTTGGTGAAAGTGCACCGGGATACACCTCCTTATAACCACTTGTATGCACAATGGTAATTAAGATAATTGGGTTTTTTAAAAAATATTTTTAACTGCTGGACTGAAAACTGTGTGGGTCCATAAATGCATACGTTCATACCCACATGCACAAAAACAGTAACTATACTGATGGACTGGAAACCCGATTCCTTCAACTTCCTCTTCTCACAAAATGACACTAATTGGTTTTTGCAGAGGTTGTGAGAATAGAGAACCTGAACCACCAAGTGACTTCATGCCATGCTATCTGCTCTGGCAGCAGAAAATAAGGCATAAAGGTCTTCTGGTAGTTACATCCCTATAGCTGGCAGAGAATTAAAACTGAACTGAGCAGAACTCTGCAAAAAGCATCCTAACAGATGTTCTTTTCTGTATGGGAAAATGCAGTGTAAAACAAAGAAATATTCTCCTGCTGAAGCCCAACATCTGTTTGAAGCTGTCTGGCCCTGGGTCAGACTTTAATTATTCTGACAGGTCGCTTCATGCCCTTAATTTTCCATGAAATCTGATTCAAGAGGCTGCTTGTCTGTAGGCAGCTCTTGGGGTTCTCAGAGCAAGGTTGCACATGACCCAGGTGCTCCTTGCCAAATATTCAATGTTTTCTTGAGACTTTTTTTTTTAGATCAACTTTTGCTTCTCAGAAAAAAGCCCATTGTTGAACTGTTAACAACACTGATCCTTAGAATCCTGTTTTCTGTGGAAAAAAAAGTGATAGGGCCTGCTGGATTGTTTTTTAAATACTTTCAGTGGTGCTTGATAGATGCTATTCCTGCCAAGGTTTACTTCCTTCTAGAAGCTGCATGCTGAGAATTCAGGTTATTTCTTCCATTGCCTCTGGACTGTCTTGCTTCTTCTTCTTGCACTGGAGATCAAATTACTGATATACACAGTTATTATGTTTCTTCTCAGTTTTCTTCTATTGGTAAACTTCTGATGTAATAAATTACAAGCTCTGTCATGCAAGTGTGCACAGATTTTCTCTCCCTGGTGTAACTGAACAATGAATGAATGCCAGTATTTTTCAACTTTTTAAATACTGGTCTAGGTAGTCTCATCAGGTTCTTGCTCTAGGCACATAAACACTTTTCAGAAGATAGGAATCATAGAGTCTCACAGACATATCCTTACACACCAATGTTCTTGGCAAAAGCTACTAACAGATGCAGTTTGGAAAAACATTTTTCTGAAAAAAAACAATGCTACCACCGTATTTATCAGCTTGGTCTTTCTGTAGCACCAGACTAGTAAAATGTTCAGGTAGAAGTAATAGTGCTGATTCATTTTGCATAGCAAGGAACATGCTCCTGCTAAATTACACGTAACAACAGGAGGAGAGAAGCCAATCTGCCTTCCTTTTATACCTGCCTGCCCTGATATCCGGGTTGGAGGTCTGTCTTTGGGAGCCTTCTTTGAAGATCAGGAGAGTGGCTACCTGGAGAAGGGTCTTTTCTGTGGTGGTGCCCCAGGTTTGCAACATGCTTCTCAGAGAGGTGTGCCTGCTTAATTCATTTCAGCACCAGGCCAAAACCTTTAAACGTACCCAGTATTTTAAGATTTGTTTGAGATTTTAATATCGGGTTGCTGCCTTTTGCTTGCTTGTATCACCGTCCTAAGACCTCTGTAAAGGATGGGGTAAAATGTGTTAAATAATTAAATATCTGTAAACAAGCATATTCATGCCAGGAAGCTACCCTAGTCAGGTGTAACTTGTGTACCCAACACGTGTCTACCACCCAGCAGTAGCATGCCACCCTTATACAAATCTGTATTGCAACTACACTTGAAATACTGTGTACAGTTCTAGTTGCCACACCCAAAAATAACTGGGAAAGACATACACAAAGGTAACCTAAATGGGACTGGAGCAACTCACCTATGAGGAAGTTACAATGTCTGGAGCAATTTAGATTAGGAAAAAAGCAAATGGGAATGCACAATAACATCTACAAAATTCTGCATGGTCTTTCATCATGCTGAAACACAAGGATACCCCCATGAGATTCAGGACATAGGGAATAAAACCTTCTTTACAACCAGGTTAAACTTAGGAAATTGGTACCAGTGGGGTATAGTGATAGTCACTAATTTGGATGGCTTTAAAAGGGGTTTAGATACATCCCTAGATGATAGGACTGAAAAAGTACCCCCCCCCCCACATATTACCAGTGGCTGGGGAACATAAGCAGGTGAGTGTTGTTGCACTCACCACCTCTTCGAGGTTTTCCATAGGTAGCTGGTTGTCCACTATGCAAACACAGAATGCTGAATGAGACAGGCCTCTGATTTGATTCAGCGTGCACCTTCTTAGGTCTTATTCTATATTACAGGTATTTTAAAGAATGCATCCGTCAGTGCACATTGTGAGGGAAAGTGAGTACATCTTGCAAATGTGTAAGGTATATAGAGTCAACTGAGGACAAACAGGCCCTTACTGCGGCATGCATTACTTAATGTTTAGTAATACTCCATCTATGGAAGCATATTAAGACTATGCAATCTAGGGCAGATTCACCAGGTGGATCATGTTGCGGGAGCCTCGTTATCTTCACAAGTCTGGTGGGAGCTCCATTCCACATATTCATAATGGAAATTATGTGTCTTTCAGTTTAGTTCAGCTCCAACCTGGTTGCACGTGCTTCAGTAATCTGTCACCATTCCCAGACAACTAACTAGAAACTCTTATACCTAATGAAAAACCGTGAGAAGGGCTAAGCCCAACAAATTATGCAGGGCTTCGGCACCTATTCTTAACGTGCTCCTCTTTCTTTCTTGTATGCTTTGCAAAAGAAACACCCAGTTTTGCTCAATGCACGATACAAGTGAGAGGAGGGATACAATCTTGTTGGGGTTCTTAGAAGGGTGCATTTCCAGGCACTTCTGGAAATGGACTGCTCAAGTGCGTCTCTCAGTGCAGAAGCTGAGAACAGAAAATAGTTGCAGAATAGGTAAGAGGAAGCAAGCTGTCACTGGTCCACTGAATAAAAAGAAAGAAGACTACAGCTGCAAAAGGGCTGCAAGATGAAAACTCTGATTTCAATCCCTCATTGAATACTCTCAACACAACAGTTAAGATGCAGGTTTATTTTCCTTCGTTAAAGTAACAGGCAATTCCCCAAGCCTTTTCCCCTACTCCACACTACACAAAATAATTCTGTAAGGAAATAGGGTGGATTGTCCTGCCATTTTCCTGGATGATCACTGCAGATTACAGGAAAAATATCTTGGCCTCCCCAAGGCAAGGGCAGTGTTTGAATGTGGCATTGAGGCACTGTGGTATTGTGTCTTCCGGGAAATGTTAGAAATCATTTACAAAATGATGGATCCGTAGGCTGGCTGGAGTACATAGCATAAAATAAAACACTGTTTGTCCAAGGGAATGGGGAATAGCAAAAAATAACAATATAACAAAACATGCAAACATCACTGAGAGATGATCCATCTGTACAAGTCCGCATGCCTATGGGGCACTCACTGACAGAAACACTAAACTTGGCTCACCTTTTGTTTTCATCCTGCTCAAAGTTTTGTTTAAAAAATGGGGTTTTTTTGTTTGTTTTTGTTTTTTTTAAAATAGAATGGTCTTTAGACAGACTACTCAAAACAACTCTGAGAGTAGAGCACTTCCTTCCTCAAAAGTCACCTTATGGAAGAGTTCAGAAAGGGTCAAATATTGACCAATAAATGGCTTTTCTGCTTTGTAATCTCAATTGCGGTTTCAGCAGGGAGGCAGGATGGGAAGTCTTCCTCATTCAGCTGGTTTGGTTACCAAAGAAAGCGGTTGAGCCTGTAACATAGCCAAGGCAGCCTGAGGGGACGGAATTGCGGCAAAGGAAGGATGCGTGGTCAGGAGAGCTGTAGGAGGCATGGAGGTAAATGGGAGGGGCCTGGAAAGGAGTGACGATTGGCTAGTCAAGCTAGAGGAAGATGAGGCAGCCTTGCTGGACAGGAAGGCAGCTGAATGTAGAGACAGCTGGGCCCTGGCTTCAGGCTTGGTAGTTAGGGAGAGGGGCTGAGCCTGTTCAGAATGGGTAGCAGCAGGAGCTGCAGGTGATGCCAAGGCTGTGGAGGGGGTGGCCGGAGAATCCAACATGCTGCCATGAGAGGATGCAGGGCTGTCACAGGATTTCTCAGCTGGCAGGTATGGCACACAAGGTTTTTTACTCTTTGAGGCCACAGAATCTGTTAGTGACAGACAAACAAACAGTTAATTTCTTTCACACTCTGCTTAGAATAAGACCCACATTATTCTTAATTTTCATAACACCTCCATGGAGGCATGTTTGGCTGAGAGACCAAGACTTGCCCAAAGTTTCCCCATTAGTTTCACAAATGATTAATTCCAAATCCACTAACCATGTGGGCTATTTTATAGCAGGTTAGTGCACCAGTTCTCCAGCCAGGTAGTAGAACTATACCACTGATGACCAAAGAATAGGTTCCTTGGCTAGAAAAACCTATTTAAAAGTCTGTACTTCAGAGGAGGCATTTCTGATCAGCACGGCAAAAGGAAGTACCCAGGATCACATCAGCACAAGCTTCCCACTATACCAGACAGATTATTATCTAACAAAGAAAGGTCTTCCACAAGACCCTTTTGAATCCAACCTCAACACTGAACAGCTTTGGATTTATAGAAGTTCCCTTAATTCTGTCTCATTTCCTACTCTCACAAAAGCTAAAACTGGCCAACATTTTAAAATACACAGATCCTGAACATTCTTACAGAAAGTCTAGGAGGCTTGGAATTGCTGACTTCTGTACCCCACTTGAATTCAGTTTCTTTGAATTCTTATTGAATTGGAAATGGCAAGTACTAGTCAGAAAGAAGAGAGCAGCTGTCCAGAAGTTCATTTATGGTGTCTAAGTTTAAAAGTGCCATTTCATGTGTTATTCAAAGAAAAAAACCCACATCCTGACTCTTTTCTTCCTTTTTCACATCTCTATTTACTTCTCTGATGATCCCTGTTGGCATTTTACTAACCCTCATGTGACAGGAAGTCAGATGATTTTTTTTCTTAAACATTTGTCCTATGTCAAGGAATCATTTACATTTCATTTCTGATTTTAGATGACTGTTAGAAGGAACTTGCAGAAAGAAGCAATTATTAGGACTTCTGGCCTAGCTGTTTCCCTTCACAGGGAAGAAGAATTTAGTGCTGTCAAATGCATGATGACCTGGGACCAGCCTATGGAAGGACAATGCACGATACTTACTCCCTGTTTCCTGGATTTGTGGCTGAGGTTGTTTCTCTCTTTTTCTCTTCTTTTTTTTGCCCTGAAATGGACCAATTCAAAAAGGTAATTATCAGAAAGAAAGGCAAGCAACAATGCAAGATTACCATAAAGCATCTCCAATAAGAGTTTATATTTGATCGGAGTAATTAACTGAGATATAGTGAAAGAGACACACACCAGGCAGAACAATTCCAGCAGAACAGTTCATTCTACATTACGTACAACAGCAGAAAGAAATACTGAACCAACAGAAAGTGTGCATAGTGTTACAATTATTTTATTTTTTTAATAATTATGCCTGGAAAGCCTACTCATTGGCTGCTTTTCACAGAGGGAGTTGAATAGAAAGGTTATTATAACAAAACAAAAAAAGACAATCCAAGCACTGCACATCTTGAACAGAAAAAATGTCTCCACAACAACATCTTAATCCAACAACTCATTTTTGAGAATTATTATTCTCCCTATTACATTAATCAAATGTCTTTTTTAAAAAGCCATAAATGCATCACATTAAGAAGTATCCATTATGAAAGTGGCTCATAGATCAAAGAGACACACAGCAAAGTAAGAAAATAGGGGCATCCAGATATTTGGTGAGATTTTTAGATCAGAAATACTACAGTATCATTAGAGCACGATTATTTTCAACTTTATCAAGAGTATGATAACAATGAGGAGTTTCCAAGAAGCATTAGACAAAGGCAGTAAGGGATAAGTAACCAAACAAGAAAGAAAGGTCCCTTGGGGCAAATAGCTGATCTCTCTACAGAACTGAAATAATATGGAAGATCCCCCCCACCTTAATCCTGCCTGCAGTTGATGCTTGCATGAATGCCTTGGTTTTGTCCTACTACACTGAAAAACATGTAAAAGACAGAACCTGGTATCTGATTTAATACACAGCAAAGGCAGGTTGCTTACCTGAAACTGTTGTTCTTTGAGTGGTCATCTGTACATTTACACCTATGGGCTTTGCTGCACAGTGCAAGGCCTGGATCAGAGATAAAAACTTCCAGCGCTCAGCAGAACGGAGTGGGCAGAAGCCCCCACCCAGCCCCTCAGTACCTTGAAGGCCACATAATCAGGCAGAGGGGAGCTGCCTCTAGACCCATCCTTTACCACCCACCCAGCATGGAGGGTGCGACGTGGCTGATGACAACCAGCGGGGCAGAGGGTGGGTTGTATAAATGCACAGATGACCACTCGAGAAATGACAGTTACTGGCAACCTGCCTTTCTTCTTCATGGTCTCTGTGCAATCACACCTATGGGTGACTAGCAAACTTACTCGTTGTGGATGGAGGGGCTGCTGTCAACGGAGGACTGTAGAGAGGACTGGTCCGCCAAATGCACAGTTTTGTCTGGCATGGACATGTAGGCAGTAGTGCCGGGTGAAAGTTGATGGCATGGACCATGTGGCAGCCTTGCAGATGTCTTGCAGCAGGATGCCGCCCAGAAGCGCATTGGTTGTGGTCTGGGCCTGTGTGGAGTGCGTGCGGGGGAGTGCCGGGAGGTCTGTGTGTGCCATCTAGTAGGGGACACCCACTTGGAAAGTCTCTGGGTCGAGACAGGCTCTCCTTTTCTTGGGATCTTGTAGCACAGGAACAGGCGAGTAGAGCAGTGTATCTGCTTGGTCTGGGATTTGTAGAAAGCGAGGGCTCTGTGAACACTGAGGAAGTGGAGCGTGGTCTCTATTGGGGTGGAGGAGTTGGGGAAAAAGTCTGGAAGGATGATGTCCTGGTTGACATGGAAGGAGGAGGTGACTTTGAGTGTAATGCTGGGGTCCACCCATAGGACGGCCTTGGCTCTGTGGAACATGGTGGGGGCGGGGGTGTCAACCTGTAGCACCATCAGCTCACTGGCATGATGTGCTGATGTGATGGCCAGGAGGAGCACTGTCTTCCATGCCAGCAGGCGTAGGTCGGCTGTCACCATGGGCTCAGGGTCCCCTTGTGAGGGCTTGTAAGGTGTCGGAGGGGCTCCAAGTGGGGGTGCAAGACTGTCCTGGTGGGGCGAAGTTCTGGAGGCCTCGGAGGAAGTAGCACAACAGGGGGGTGGGTGCAAAGACTGAAGCCCTTTCTGGAAGTCTGGATAAGGGTGGGGGGTCCCGCCCAATCCCTCAGTTCCTTTTTGCCCACTCCACGCCACTGAGCTTTGGAAGTTTTTGTCTCCAATCCAGGCCTCGCACTGTGCAGGACAGCAAGGCCCGTAAGTGTGGTTGCACAGAGACCACGAAGAAGAACGTACGGATTCCTACTGACTGAATCTTTCTTCCGTTTCTTCTATTAAAAACAATGTGTAAGGGAAGTCTGAAAATGTATAACAAGTGAAGTGTTCATTGTGAACGTGAGGTAGTTGGGTAGTAGCCGCACAGGACTGTCCCTGGTCAGAAGGCAGGGCTTTTGTAACCTGTTTAGCTCCATTATTCTCACCACCACTACCATTATTCTTCACTCTGTTTGCTCCATACCTTCTGCCTCTCCCCAGTGCATGAATTTTTAAAACCCCATTCTTGGGATTTACAGGACGTTTTTACAGTTACAAAATATATAAAATCCATATTGATGACTTACGTAGTTATCTCGTGCAGACCAGGTAGGGTAGAGCTGAGAATGAAGTTGTCTTTCCTTCCGGGCTAGCTCATAATACTTGGCTTGCTCTTCACGGGACAATGAATGCCACTGAAGCACATGAAAAGATATTGCATACTGAAACCTCTACGTGTGGGCTTCCGCTCTAAAATGTGAATGAAACCCATGCATTTCTTTTAAATAGACCCCCCACACACACCTCTCTACACCATTTATCCATTTTCAATGCAAATATTTGGATCAAGGTGTATATATCTGCAGCTATAAAAATTGCCTGCGTAGTTCAACCCAATAGTCCGTCTATATGTATTCCTTGCTCTTTTGCCTCCCCACTTCTTTTCAGAGTGATAGAAGCTGCAGCCATAATTACCCTTCTCTGCTCTTCTTAAAAGATACAGGTAGAAATCTTGTGCACCCTGAAACAGTCCAAATTTTTCCAGCTTTGCTCTATCTAGCCTCCGCATGAATGCAAAATTCCCCGTGCCTTTGGGCCAGCCTCTTCCAACTTGGTGCCCTCCATATGTTTTAGATTTCAACTCCCATTCATCCTGGCCAGTATAGCTAATGGTCAGGGATGATATAAATTGCAGCCCAAAACATCTGGAGGACACCAGGTTAAAAAAGGCTGCCCTTGTCTGTGTGAAAAATTATTTCAATCCATGTTCCTCTTTGACCTCTCCTTTCTTCAACATTGCCTTCCATTTTAAACCCATGTTCTTCATTAGCAGTTTGAATATTCCTGGACCTCTTATGTCTACACAGGAACTCAGCAAGTAAGGCTTAGATACTTCATTGCCACAAAAAATACATGTTTGAAGCTACAAGCCAATTCTCCATGTAGTTCAGTAGCCTAAGCGCTTGAGATAGGAGTGAGATTAAGAAAAAAGCAGCAATTTATTTTATACCCTTCTTCCTAGGATCTGGTTGATAGCTGCACTCTCTTTCAGTGTACACTCTGCCACCACCTTGGCCCGCATTTCCTTCATATACAACATGAACGCATTCAGAGGTTTTTTAATGTGGGGTTTCTTCTCTTCCTCCTTCTTGACAATAACAGGTGTTTTTCTGAAATAGTCATACTTTTCATTACACTCCCATAGTCCTGATCATAATCCCAGTATCTCTCCTACCAACTATGTGCAGGTAACAGAAAACAAGATGCTCTGAGTAAAGAATTATTCTGACAGATAACAGATCACTATTAGAAACCAGTCGATGGTTAGACCAGGTAAATATTGCAGCAGTATTTCACTTCATACCTTGGTTGTGCATCAAAGCACACATTAGTAGAAGACAGTCACTGAATCTGGCATTCCTGTGACAAGTGCTCCATCCTGCAGTGACTATGTGAAATGAAATGGACTATTGAGAATTCTTGTTCCATTTCCTTACTGGTTGTTGGACAAAGAATGCACATGGTGTGCATAATACACAGTGTGTGATGGCTGTAATCATACGATAAGTGTTTGCAAGTGTTATAGCTGGGTTGGAGCAGAGGGGGTGTACATGTCTGTAGAAGATGAAACAAGAATGCAGTTTTCTGCCATACCCAGTTCATAAATAGCAATTGGGTTTGCACAACATGCTAAGTCATGGTGGTTATAAAGCCACCATGGTGCAGCAAGCTGTCCAAACCCAGTCACTTTCTACAGGGGCGCATCTTCGTGGCTACAGAGCCATCCCAAAAAGCCATGGCTTGTTGCAGAGTTCGTTTAGCCCTCCGTAGCTTGATGTGTCATCATAAAGCTACAAGCCAAAGTATAGTCTCAAACCCTACAGCACTTCTTAGGAAGAGTGGCAGAAAGTCGTGGTGCTCTAAGTCAGGTGCCAGGGAGTGATTGCCTGCTCCCCTACAGGTGTTGGAGCAACACTTGGGGGACAGCTGGCCAAGGCATCCCCCCATCCCTAGAGCCTCTGAAAGCTAATTAGGTGGCATTGTGGCTTGCCTTTTTATTTATAAGGCCTTTTTTTAATACAGGTGTTCCGCTGTTCCACCCATTTTGCCAGGACTTGCCAAATCTCTCAGCCTGGAAGCAGGCAGTGCCTTGCTAAGCAAGATCATGTTTTGTTGAAAGGGGTTCTTCCCATCCCCTTATTCAGTGGGACCTGCTGTGGGGGTGTTGTGGGAAGAGATCAGGTGCTTGCCCCCATTTTTGTAAGAGTCTCTCTGCTGCCAGCATAGAGGGAAACGCACAAGAATGAAGGCAGACTGCAGTGACAGGACATAGGCCTTTCTCTGGCAGAAGCAGTTTTCATGATCTCCAAATTACACTTTAAAAATACGAAGACAAACCACAATGAGACCCAAATGGCTTGTGGCCTCTTCAGAGAGTCGGGTGAAACCCCAGCACTCACACAGTGTCCCCTGTGATACTTGCCAGAGGACAGAGGAACCTTTGGCATTGCAATAATGTGGCCAGTCATCTGCCCGGCACATTCTAAGCCCTGCGGCAAACACACTGACTGCACTGCATGGTTTATGATGCAGTGTGGCTTGTTGTGCCATGTGAGCCTGCCCACTGTGATACAGTAATATATGCAAACACAGGCCCTGTTGGCATTGACCTGTGCTACACCAAGCTTAGATGTTGCCAGGCATTCCAATATCGATATTTGTTAAAAGGAGGAGCAAGAAGCAGCTTGTTATTTAGAACAAGCCTCCAGCATAGTTCAGAAATCCTAGTTACCCGCTAGGTCATTCTAACAGAACACACTACATGACACAGCTTGGCTGTGTTGTAATAAGCATTTGAGGCAAGTGTAAATTCAAATATATAATAAAATACATTGAGCAATACTGATCAAGCTACGTTGATAACAACCCTTTCCTCACAATTATCTTTCCACAAAATAAAACATCCAGGCATTACCAGGCTAACTATTACTTACGAGTTCCCTTCAGGACTCAGGCTTGGCTGGGTGGGCTCTTGCTTAACAATAGGCGATACAATAGTGGGGTGTGGGATTCCTGAGGGATGAAGTCCATGAGCAGCAGGAGGAACCATGTGAGGCGAAAACCTGCTAGACATCAGGCTGCAGTACAATTAAAAGTGAAGTGGTGAAAAGATGCCTCTACCTATAACCATTTTTTCATACCTAATTGCCAAAATATTAACATGTTTCTACCCATTTCCTTTTCCTCCTTTTTCCGCACACCATGTTACCCTCCAGAGACAAGAGTAACAGGTGTAACTCTAAGTCACTCCGGAGACAGGAGGCAAACAAATCTTATAAATATCCAATGTATTGCTGCACCCACTGAACCACAGAGAAATACAAATAAATAAAAGAATTTCTTCTCATGTTTTAAATTTTGTTCTGAAGGATACAAAGCAGAAGCCCTTCCATGAAGGACTAGAGGAGCTAATCATGGCCAGCTGCACCTTCTCCTCCTCCTCCTCTCCTCCAACTAGTGTTCTGGTTTGTTTGCTAAGCTAAGTTTCCCCTTAATATTTGCAACTATTTGCAAATATCTATCAGCTACATGCAGCTCTGGATTTTCTGAAGGAGGCCGCCACACCTGAAGTTCCACCACAACCAATCCCGAACTGACACAGACTTATGAAAATGTCTGTTTGAAGTTCATTCAGTCAGGAGATCACTAACTGCTACAAGAAATATTTATAGTGGAATGACCTCTCTGGCCGAGAAAAGTCAATTAGGCAGGCAACATGGAGAGGACAAATGCCAATCAATCACAGAAAATCAACTATTAGTCTTAGGAAATACACTGTCATTATTCTTATTTCAATTGGTCACCATTAAAAATTGATCGAATAGAAATGCTGTTTCACTTTAATAAGAGAGATAATAGTTAACTTCCATCTAATGTGTAAAGTAATGTCAGTTCTCTTTTCCATCCTCTCTGGGCCTAGCTCTCACCAAAGAGGTAAACCTGTGTCTGGGTTGTAGCACTTCTGACAGCAGGCAACATCTTCACCTGTGTCTGCTCATGTAACACTGCACTTAGAAAACATCAAGTCAGGGAGAAAACTTATCTAAATTTTTGTTCGACATCCAAGTTCTATATTGAAGTTTTGTTTTTAATGGAGAAGCATTCGTTCATGTGAGCCCCTTTATGAAGTTCATACTGAATTGGACTTTACTCTCCCTCTTGAACTCACCTGGACATTGAGGCATTCATAGCCAAGGCAGGGTATGGATGTCTGAACCCACCTGGAGGAATGGAATATACAGGCTGTCCTTGCCTAAAGTGGACATGGGGAGAAAAGACAGACAGCAGAGCAGATGCTCTTATATAACTGCCAAACACAGCTCCAGAAATACATTTTCTACCAAAAAATACATTTATCATTTAGTATTTAAGCCCATGAATGCCTATGGGTTTAAGTATCAATGCTAAAGGTTCACGCATTAAAAACATTGCTATCCTCATTTTGAACATCCAGGACCACCAAACATAGGTAAAGGCTTCCCCATGACGTTACGTCCAGTCATGCCTGACTCTAGGGGGAGGTGCTCATCTCCGTTTCCTAGCCGAGGGAGCCAGCGTTTGTCCACAGACAGTCTCCGTGGTCATGTGGCCGGCATGACTAAACACCAAAGTGCACGGAACGCTGTTACCTGCCCACCGAAGTGGTACCTTTTTATCTACTTGCATTTGCATGCTTTCGAACTACAAGGTTGGCAGGAGCTGGGACGAAGCAACGGGAACTCACTCCGTTGTGCAGATTCAAACCGGCGACCTTTCAACCAGCCCAGCAGCACAGCGGTTTAAACCACTGCGCCACCTGCAGTCCCCAAACATAGATGGGCTCTATTACGAGAAACAAAGTTTGCCTTCCCAAGTGGCACTGCTTCCAGATGTTTTAAAATACCGGTGGCAGAATTTTGACTTGGAAAATGCGGTCTTTCAGTGCTCAGGGTGATGTAGTTCTCTGTGCTCTTCTGTGGCCATACTGCTTCCTGCTGACCATTTCTATCATCAGAACTTGATCCCAAAATCTTTCTACCACTTTACTCCCCTCCATCACCCCACTGGCTTGGCCAAAACACAAAAGAAACTAAAAACCGGAAGCAATACCTATTACATAAAGCAAATCAACACATTACAAATGCATGTATTGCTGTACATCACACAGTCCTATCGTGATGCAAACTGGGGTGCCTGCATCAGTTTGCAAGGCAGTGGATCATGCCACTCCAGTCCCATCCCCTATCATGAGCAGGTGCTGCGATGGTGGCCTTTGCCACAGTAAGAGGGTATCTGGCAGGGAGAAGAAGTTGCAAAATGAGACACCAAGGGCCACTAGACCTTTCGAGCCATGGCTGGAACCAGTTAAGAACTTGTAAAGACAGTCATCTCAGTAAAGGGCTTCTTGAACATATGGGATACCCCATTTATACTGAGCTCCCACTTCAATGAAAGGGGTCTCTCCATATTTGTGTGGGAGGGAGTGTATGTATACGTAGAACAGCCAAGAAATTCTGTATCAAGGTACTGACAGAGCCTCAAAACTTACAATATACTTAGCTTATATTAAAACAAGGGGCAAATACTAGATTTGGTGAACACTATTTAAAAAGAAAAACAATTAACGGTCACATCTAGCATTTTTTCAGGGCCAGGTAAGGACCACCAGTCATGGGAGAACACAGAAAATAAGTCTCTATCTCTGAATGCTCTTGATTGCTGGAAAGAAGTTGTTTTTCTCATGAATAATGAACACTCAAATAATGGCCTGCCCTGGCCTCCTATACATACTTGAGCTTTTGTGTTAAGAAGTTTGCCTGACCCTCCAGGGGATTTTGAAATCTTCAGATCGTCAATTAGTCCACTGAATTCTGAAATAGCCTCTTCTTCCTGAACTGGATTTTAAGTTCTCAGACATATCTACAGTCACTGTGTGACTTTGTATATATAAATTCGTATGGTTTTGTTTATTTGATTTCACAGTGATTAATATATTTGTACCATGACAATATTACATCTGTATTTTTCTCTACATTAGCTGCTGCCTTGATTATTAAGGCACGCTTTTACAAATTCTCCCTTTTCTGCTTAATCAGGTCAAGACAAACGCGGATCATAACAGCATAGGGCAAGTTGGGGAATATGTGGCCCTCCAGATGCTGCTAAACTTTATCTCCCATCAACTAAAGTAGGCACAGCAAATAGTGAAGGATGATCAGAGTTACAGACCAACAATTGTGGGGAAAATCATCATTCCTGGCATGGAAATGTTAGCAAAAAAGCTTATGATTTATGCTCCCCATGTATATATTTGAATGTCACTCAATAAATTGTAAATGTATTGACCTTTTCATACTTGCAGGTTCAAATTCCTCTCATCCCTGTACACTAGGTAAAGCCTTGGAATTGGCCTAACCTACTTCATAATATTCTTCTGAAGATAAAATGAGACAAGCTTTTGTAAGCAACTTTGACCTCCTTGAGGAAAGACTGGGATATAGATAGAAAACAAATATGACAAGTTAAATAAAATTCAGCACTTACGTGCACTAGACTTTTTAAAAATTTAATGCAATATTTGTTGCATCCCCTAAAAATGCAAGAACTATACAGAAGAGAGTTCTTAAACTAGTTTCTTGGAAAGCTAGCTTCATGGAATTGAGACAGAGATTTGTTTCAGGTGTACTATGTGTTAAGATCAATTCTGCTTTGATTATATAGAAAGATGAAGGACTCTTCATATGAGCAGAGAAGAACAGCCCCTATGGGAGATGAAAAAACATGGAAGGAGATTTAGAGTGGCGATTCTTACTGTGGTACAAGCCACCCCAAGGGGTGAGGAATTTGTCCAATGGTACCAGGAGACAATGGGTAATATGGAGACAGTTCTGAAGGGTGAGGTGGTCGGGGAATTCCTGGTGATGAGAAAAAGCAACAGACATTACAACAGTCAAGATTTGCCTCCCATCCAATTTAAGTTCCTAACAAGAATCCCACATTCTCAAAAGTCAGAAAAATATAAGCTTTTCCCACCCCACACCCCAGATACCTTTTAATAAACTTACTTTCACATTCCTTTTGAGATTGCTCTCAATTTCATATATCTATTTTATTAGTTATATTCTTCCAGCAATCTACCACATCCCAGGTGAGCAGGTATCAAAAACTCACCTGTCTTTGGGTCAATCTCTGGGGAGAGGTGGGAAGGTGGTGAACCTGGCGAGAAGTGGTCATTACTGTAAGTGATGAGTGGCGTCAGTGGGTGCATGTGATGTGGATGCTGCACCACAGGAACTTTGTTTGACTGCAAGAAAAGAAGCAAGGGCTTATGCATCTTTTAATGCATACATTGCTTGCCTTTTAAGATCTATTGTGTTTTAAAAAGAGAAGGAAAAAGGAATGAATCATTTGGACTTTATATGCTTGTAGTTTCGTATATTATAAACAATAAATTTGAGTTAAAAAACAAAAATAAAAAAATATAACTTTATTCCACTACAATCTGTGATCATCTAGTTCTTTAACAAAAGGCTGGACATGCACATGGTAGGCATGTCATGAGTGGAGCTGGCTGGAGCCAGGGGTCAGATTAGGTGGCCTGGCCGACTCCTTCTGAGTCGCTCTGTTTCTATTTTTCTATGAAGCTCTAAAGAAGAACTAAAATCCTTGAGGCCCAAATATTTTAGGCCACGCTGCAAGTTATGACAGTTTGGGATTTAACTGCCTCAGTTTTAACTAGTTATCATTTCTTGAGCTGGCCTCTCCCAGTCCCAAAGAACACTCAGAACACTTGCACTAACTGTAAAAGTAGCCCCCAGATGAAACAATCTAATTACAATGATAGCTGAATCACTATTATATGATAAAATTACAAGGAGTCATATTAAAGATTTGCACCTTATATTGTAAAGGCTCTTGAGAAAACAGCCAAAAGATTGTAATAAAGAACCCTGAAAATTCACATAATTGAGAATATTAACAGTATCATTTCCAGTTCTTTCAGAGCTCTTGAATTATTATACTAATCAGAAACTATTGCCTAGAAGAATATCCAAGAGAAATACTTTCAGATGACACTGATCTCAAAAATCAACACAAAGGCAAGCTGTAGACACTTACTAAGTGTGCAGGAGAGGGAGATCTTGCATCTTTTAGTGTAGCTCCAGCTGGTACATCAAGGAGTGGCCACTTCACCTGCAGATACTGAAAAAAATGGTTGAAAGAAAATAAAACTGCAGAAACAAAATAATAGGAATCATAACAGAAAGCAAGACAACAAATTTCACAAGTGTTTAAGTGGCCAAACAAAAATAGTTAAATATAAAATTTTAACCATGGATCAAATGCAAGAAGGCATGAAACACCTGTTTTGCACATCAAAAACTTCCTCACTGGTTATGATGTACCTTCAGCTCAACTCATGGCCCACAGCTTTCTTATGCTTTACTCCCAGATCATCTTGATAACACACGGACACTTGGATAATGCTGGACACAACTTTTAGCAAGAGCAAGGTGAACTGTCCCCCATCTTACTTCCTTCATTTCTCCCAGTCAAAGCTCCCTGCCCTTCTCTTCAACAAAAGAGCACAAACCTTAACAACGTGGCACAGCAGAATGAAATTCCTCCTTCCTACATGGCTTCCTCCCTTGCTGGTTAGAGAGAATACTGAGCATGTGACATGACAGTCCCCTCAGCAACAGCAAAATTTATTACGAAGCAGGAAAAGGGCTGGAAAGGTGGTTGCAGCCTGCATATACTCAGCTATTCCCCAAACCGGAGCGCTTTTACAAATAAAATGCCACTGGCTAAGCCAATGGATTACAAGCTCATCCTTCCCTACAGAGGGAGTGGAATAGGCACCAGGTAACATCTTGGAGGTTGCCGATCACCTAACAGGCTCAGGAAGAGCAAATGGCATGGCTGCAGCAACTGAGATTTGCTTTAACAACCAAGCGGGAAGTTATTTGCATGGGTAAGTGGGAGAGGTGCCAAGAAGAACTAGGTAATAGAAAAATGAAGAGAAAGAAGTTTCTCGGGCTGACAGAGTGGATTGACCATCTATGATGAGGAATGAATTTGGAGTAGGATCTGGTGAATGACTAAGGAATTTCAGAAAAATATTTGGGGTAGATCTGGAGATATTCCTGGGGCAGAATCTGTGTAGCTAAAGAGTTTGTAGGTCTGTGCACTGAGGTTTCTTTCCTCTTAAAAACCAGTTAAGAGTTAGAAAATTTTTGCTTTCTGTTTTTTTTAAAACCCTGATGACTATTCGTATCATTATTAATATTGCTGTTTTAAGAATGGCTTTTCTGTTGCTCTAAAGACATTATCTTGACTCTGCCTATGGTTCCCACCCTCTGATCCTTGCAGTTCCAATGAGCAATTTTTATCTCAAAAATGAAAAGTTGTATTGAGGAAACTCACTTTTCCTTCAATGTATACTTAAAAAACTTTAATCCTTGTGCTCAGGTAGGTAGAAAACTTAACAATTAAAACATTATTTTCTTTAATTTGTCCCATTTGTTTCTTCTTGCTCAGTTATGCCATGTGTAACTCCAGAGTAATACAGATAAGGAATTTAGCAGACATAGAATTAGTTAAATTATGGAAATGCAATTAAATAGGTTAATCCAGTAAATTCTTGAGTTCCTTGAAGTTTTTACAGAACTTTAGGTACAGGATGGGTAAAAAATTCATAGATCCAAAGCAATAAAAGCAACTTTTCAAGAAGTCTTTTTTATTTTTATGAAAATGTAAATTGTTTTCTTAAAGTAGGTAAGATACAGAAAGAAGAAAAAGGTTAAATAAAATTCCCAAGGGATTTTAAACAAGTATAATTAATATATTCATAGCTTGCAAAGTTCCAAAGATGCTAAAAAAAAAATCTCTTTCTGTCAATCAATACTCTGTTGAAGCTCAAAAAAACAATGACTACATATCTGTATGCTGACAAATTTTCTAATCTCCAAGAGGATCATTATATTTTTCAACATTAACTGTTTAATACAGTCTACCAATTTAATTTTGAAACCACCATTCTATGCTTAGTGTGTGGACCAGTTTTAAATACAGTATTCAAATATGAAAGCAGGTATTTGTTTTCTTCACTGTGTTCTAGCATCAATACTACAGAAACTTAAATTGGCCTGCATTGTTGGGCATTTCTAGTACCAGAAGTACTAAAAACAAAGGTACTTTATATTGCATTTTGAAAGTGGAGGAATAAAACCATTCCATACAATTATAACTGAATGCAGGGCATCCTGTGAAATGTTGGAGGTTTGGGAATGTGGACTGGATGAGTTGCAGCTGTGCAATGGAATTTCCCTAACACACAAATCCTCATGATGTAAAACAGCTGGAAGGAAATCCCAGAATGCTCTATTTAGAGGCTGAACAACCAATAATTTAAATGAAAGATTAACCCTTCAAATCTTCACATTTCCTTCAACATATATTCCAACTATCTATTAAAGGTGGAAAATGCTGCGTAAGTGCTGATCTGTTCCCACGGATAATCTGAACAAATTCTGCTATATGACTAGTGTCTTTTGAGAAGCTTAGACACACATTCACAAACTAGTACAAGAGAAGCTAAAACAGTTTTGTTTTATCAAATGATCTGTATTTTTCTGGCCACTTAACCCATTCAAACTAAGGAATATATTCTCTTCCCGCATTCCATTCTGTTGATCTCTGTTTGATATATCTTAAAAGCACTTTATATTTGGTATAGTGTAATTGCTTGACAGCATATAAAATATACTAATATTTCACACAACTTGGTAAAGTGCCTTGCAAATAAGTGGAGCTTCCAGAAGATCAGCATTTAGAATTAGCTGTTCAAAGGGTACATGCAATATAATCCTGTTAACTCCTTTGGTTGCAATATCAATTCATACAACAACATGCACCATATTTATACATGTATGCCAGACCAAACATTTGACAATGAGAAACAAATCCTTTCTAAAGATGCCTTATCAAGAATCCCAGGTGGGTTTCAGAAATCTGGAATGCTAGCTGTCGTTACTGGTTTGACATGCCAACGTGTTTCTCTAATGCTATTGCATATATGTTTACAAGACTGCATTTTATACATATCTAAAGGGCAAGTATTGGACTTTTTTTTTTTTTTTTTGCAAAAAGCCACAGGTTGCATCCAATGGCAATTCTGTTTATAGTGGAAAGTGATTACTCTTGCCCAAGCCAGGACATCCAGTTTTCACTGATCACCCTTTCTTACTACAGCAAGCCACACATCCTGAAAAGCAGCTCTTGTGTCTCAAAGAACTGTCTGGAACACTATGGGATATAGTCAGAGGGTTATGGAAATTGGATGTTCCATCTTGTGCAAGTGTAAGCATGTTTCTTGAGTGGACACTAGGAAGCCCTGGTGATTGCTGTGCAGTCTAACTACATTAAAAACTTGTACTAGTGATATCCTAGTGGAACACCTATTCTGGCTGGTTACAGGAGATATGTTTGGACTTTCTGGTAGGGTGGGGTTGTCATGCACATTGCAAAATAGCAGCATATTCGGCCTTTCTAAAGTTTGTGGTAGACAGAAGCTACTCTGTACTTTTTGAGCTCTAGCAAAGATATAGTTGAACCAGCTTTATTTGCTAACACCCAGCACCAGATTGAGGCCAGAATCATATTCCAGGAGCAGAGCAAACATTTTAAAATCTAGAGCTATAGCCAAAAATAACTGAATGTGCAAGATTCTGGATTTTTCCTCACTGGAGGTAAAAAGGAAAAACTGGAATGCAACCAATGCTCCATGTACATCTGGACAAAGGAAGAAAGATTTGTGTATGTTTGACATGAAACAGGAAGACAGCTTATCTTGTTCCTATAAAACATACAGTCAGACCACTGTGATAGCCCAGTCCTGCCCACAATGCAGAACTGTTTCTCTTCGACCTTTTCCATTACAGCTATAAAATTCAGCCTCCAAACTCAAAGCAGAATATAGCCAAAACTAACAACTCCATGGCAAAAATGAATGAAACATATAAGCGAAGGCCCTTGCCCTGAGAGAAGGAAAAGACAACTACAGTAGCTCACAGCATCACCTATGAGCCAAGAGGAACATTCCCTGAGACAGAAAACTCTCCAGAAAATATTTGAGGAGCAATTTTCAAAAGGACTTAATCTATCATTGGGAAAAAAAATACAATGGGAGGCTATAGCATTAAATGTTCCATATTCATATAAAATTGACATTACTGGCATTTGTAAGGACGATGTTGCAAATTTATGCTCAAGCAAGTAATCTCCACAAAACTTGCCTAATTCACTGGACATGGTTTAGAAAAGCTGGGTGCTTTTTGCACAATCATAATGCATAGATGCTTTTATATGACACCTCTGAACAATTATTCCACAGTTCTTTCCAACAACACACTTGCTATGTCCTGCGTTTTGTTTTTGTCCATTTGCCCTAAAAAGTATATGTAAAATGTTAAATAAGCTCGCATTCTGCTTGCTTATTACCAGACACAGTTCAATCTGGGCAGCAGCTTGTCTGTATTGCCTGTACCTCTGGCCCAGTTGCTCCTGTTCCTCTTTGATGTGATAATTTAGATATCAGTAATATTTTCAAAATATTTTCTCTGCACACACAAGGAGAGACTTAAATGTGTCCATGTAACTGAACTCCTATACCAAGACATGTATAAGTGAATACAGTCTATCTCAAACCACATGCAACATCTGCAGCTCTCTACTTTCACTTATAATGCTCCTGAAAGCACTGCAGAGTAAATTTTTTACTTTCCACTTCTCACATTTTGGAAAAGGCCTTTTCTAGTTTGTAAGTTTAATTTTTCCCTCTCATTGGTTTTGTTGCTTACTATTCAAAATGGTGTTATAGCAAAATTTTTAAAAAATAGTGATTGGGTGAAGTGAAAGGAACACTTGTTTTAAACCATTAGTTCTTCACCAATGAGGTGAATGTATGTTATGTTTTTCTTCCACATTTGAAAACTGCAATTAGAATAGGTTGCCATGAGATTCCTGCAGCTAGTGCTGAAACCTTGTCCTTTATGTAGAACAGGGCTGAGGATCTGTAATCAGATCTTAGCCTTCAAGGCTCCTACAACAGCCATTTGTGGAAAAGGCAATGAGCCAGCGCTGTCATCTGTACAAGGAGTATGTTTGGTATGCAGCTGGCCCCATGACCCCCAACTAACTAG